TTTTTTGCCCGGTGGCTAGATCAGCAGTGCCTGGTCCACCTGTAGGCTGGATCTGGCTGGTGGTCCTGATCTAACACCCTAGGGTGGGTATGGTAGGGGCCCATCTGGTTACACAGAGTGGGGCAGGAGGTAGAAGGGGGGTATGGGGGAGGTTGACAAGGCCCCAGCCTAGCCCCGTGATAGCTTCTTCAAGCCTTCTTCCTCCACCTCTGAGGGGGAAGAACTTGATGTGGCACCAACTTGGCCCTGGGGGCAGTGGTGGGGGGCCTGGTCCAGTGTTGACCCACTGTGTGGGGCTTGGCATTTGAGAATTTGGCAGCAGGGGAGATGGACATATTAACTGCCATCATTCCCCCACTGCCAAATTTGCTAACCCATGGGAGGCCCCATAGGGCAGATACCATGGCTCCATGGGCCGCATTTGGCTTGTGTTGAGGCTGAGCACATCTGATCTAGCTCAACCCCCTACCCAAGGCAGGATCATCCCTATCCAAACCATCCCATATGAATCCATAATCTAAACTTAGTAAAACTACACAGTCAATCCTGACACAACATAAGACATAATGCCCTAACCTGCTACAACTAGGGGGATCACAGCAGCTAATGTCTTGCTTTTGTAAAAGGTTGTTAACATATGCCTCAGGAGATCCCAGGAGAAGGGCCACATCCTCCACTACAGAAACCCCCACCATCCATACCAATCTGATCAGGGAGTAAAATTCCTTCCTGACTGCATCTATCAAAGATTATGCTCTTTTGTTCTGGTAGGTCAAAATGTATCTATTTATGTGACCAATGCATCACTGTGGAGGCCTCACAACACACTTGTGTAATATCATTGTACCTTCTTTATAGGTGAACTGAGTTAGAGAGTAAGATTATCAGAGAGGTCAAATAAGGGACGTAGTCATGTAAGTCCAGAATTGTGATCCTGAGACGCTGTGCACAGCTCTTGCCTAACCTTGGGGGCAGCTACACCCCACAAGCATCTCACTTCCTAACTTTAAAATTCTTGAGATGCTTAGAGCTGTGCACTCATGCATTCCCAGGACAGCCCTGGACTGAACAGGGCTGAGTTTGGTACCCAGCTCCTCCTACTTATGCCTAAATGGGATCCTGAAAAAATGACTTTCTCTGCACAAATCCTCAGAGAGTTTTGGTTGGGTGCCTGCTCTCATAGTGTGCCTCCTGCACACAAACAAGACTAGGCTCTCTACACAGTACAGTAGTAGTTACCACTTTCCTTTAAAACATAGCCAGAAGAACAGCTGGCACCCCTCATGTATAACAGCCTAATGCTTAGGGGATAGAGCCCTTGTCTGAAAAAAGGGATACCTAGTTCTAGACACTTACCTTCAAAGGATCCGAGCCCACATCTCCCACAGAAGTCCCTGAACCACAGGGCTTTACCTCTCTTGATGAACCTTCCACTGGACTAAAAATAATTCAACACTTACTAGGTATGAGAGTGTAAGAGCATCTGCAAGGAGTGTGACTTTGTAGCCTCACATTTATGGCACATACTGAGAGGTGGGCTAGGAAGGAGGAAGAATCCTGTGCTCTGGTCCCTGCTTCCCAGATTAATGTCTGTATTTGAAATAAAGCAGACAAAAGACGGAAACAGGCCCTGGAGCAGGAACCAGAGCCCAGGATTATCTCCTACCAGCAAATGAGTGCCCTAAACTATGATCCTTCTCACTGGCCCTGTGTATGGTGAGTCTTTTGATGGCTGTCTGATCAGCATGCAAATTGTTCTGCATACCTCTTGTACCTAACTCCCCAGCACAGTAGAAGGAGCCTGGCGACCTAATACAAGATTCTAGATTTGACTGTGAGGACCAGGTGCCTTGAAGTTAGGCACTGTGTTGTCTAGCTTGGAGATGCTTAAGTGAATTGCTCGCAAACACACAGGAGGAACCGTCTTGAGGCCCAGCCCAATCCTTTATTCACAAGATCATCCATCCTTTCTCTTGTCTTATCACAATGCTTTTCCTCAATTGATGGACATAATTGTCCCCAGTTTGTAGATGGAGGGAAAACGTATGGGGACTTACCAAAAGCAAAATGGGAGATTAATGGCAGTAACAGGAAAAGAACCCAGGTGTCCTAACTCCCAGTTCAGTGCCTTATCTCGTCTAAACAACAGAGTGCTCAAGGCAGAACCTGGAGGTGGGTACAAAAATGACTTCGTGGTAGATTCACACTGGGCTCATGTAACAGCTCAGCCTTAGTCAGCTAAGCAACCTAGAGTAACCTCAGAATTGTTCTAAGTTACAGCAGATACAGTGGCCCTCAGGGACTGAAATGGTAGCTGGGGAAGGCTTAAGCATGGCAGCTTAAGGTACACCCAAGGTACTGACACCCACATCTTAGAAAGGTTGACTAAAGGCCAGTTAGAAATCTAATTCAAATATGGTTTTCTCATCAGTTTTCTAAGCATGTTACCAGGAATAAAGAAGGTCCTTTGTACTGCTCAGAGACTTCGACTGTCAAGATGGACCTCATTTAATTCTTCCATCTGAAGGCAGTATTATTCCCTGCAGTGTACTGCAGCATACTGTCAGCGCTTTGTCTTAGACTCTCTGTATGCTGAATGTATTTTCCTGTTTGAATAATTTTAAGTCAGTCATGTTTAAATTATGGCTGCTAAGTTTTGTTTAAATGAAGAAAAAATGTTTCTTGAATGTTCTCAATGATTTTATCACCTCGACGATTCAAATTTTAACTTCTCTGTTGTCATGTTCAAAGGGGAATCGTACATCTGTGGGCAGATCTTCTGCTAGAGGCAGTCTGGATCTCCCCACTGAATTTGCAGGGGTTATACTGACTAAGATCAAGTCATTCTTTAAAAAGGTGCCCACCCAAATTTCAATGACATATCTATAAGTTTAGAATCATAGAATCAGTGAGTCGGAAGGGACCTAGACAGATCATCTAGTCCGACTCCCTGCCATGGGCAGGAAGGAGCACTGGGGTGGGAGGGGTTTTTGACTGTTTATACATTTTTATGAGTGTATTTCCTGATGGGAATTTGAAATTCCTGAGTCTTTACCAGTGTGGGGGGCAGACCTTTTGGGCAGGCGTTAGCATGCTGGGTTTTTGGTTGTAGCTGTGTTGGTCTAAGAATGTAGGCAGGCAAGGTTCTTTGAGTAGATGTGATATCTCTTATTAGACCAACTGAGTAGTTGGGGAAGAAAGTTCTTACAAGCCTTCAGGAGCAGTCATCCTTCTTGAGGCATAGGGAGTCTCTGCTGGTCTGAGACTCCAAGGAGTGAGAGAAGCTAAAAGTGTGGTAGGAGGTCAATGAGAATGTAAATAGGCAGAAATTAGGAAGAGAAAAGGTAAATCAGGGAAGGGAGGGGCAAAGAAAACAGGGGAAAAACAAGGCCAAAGGGACACATTACAGTGATAGAATACAAGGTAGAAAAGAGGATGTCTGTGAAAAAGGAAATAGTTGGAGATCAGCAAACTTATTTTTTCACAGACAGCCTCTTTTCTGCCTTGTATTCTATCACTGTAATGTGTCCCTTTTGGCCTACCCGCTACCCCCCCACTTTCTTCCTCTCCCTTACTTGCTTTACCTTTTGTCTTTCTAATTTCTGGCTACAGTAAAATCTGTTATCCAGCATCCCTGGAGTAACGGGATTGCAGGTTACGTAAAAACTCTGGTTATCTGAAATAACCCGGCAGGGTTTGCCGATAACATGGAGCTGGTGGGGGGGAGGTGTGGCAGTGGCTGCATGCAAGCTTTCCCCCACTCCACCCCTGCGTCCAGCCGGTGGAAGGGGGTGGGGGTGGCAGCTGCATGCAGAGCAGCAGCAGCGCAGGGTGGTGGGTGGCAGTGAAAACTGCCATGTGCGAGCGTCCCACCCTTCACCCCCCATGGCCAGCCAGCTGACTGGCTGGAAACTCCAGTTAATGGAGTATTCTGGTTGGTTAAGTACTGGACAGTGAAAGATATTACTGTATTTACATTCTCACTGACATCCTGCCACACTTTTAGCTTCTCTCGTTCCTTGGAGTCTCAGACCAGCAGAGACTCCCTATGCCTCAAGAAGGGTGACTGTGCCTGAAAGCTTGCTAGGAACTTTTTTTCTAACTTCTTGGTTTAATAAAGATATTACATCTACTCAAAGAACCTTGCCTACAAATTAGCATTGCACTCTTCCTGAGGGCCACTCTGATCCCTTTCCCCAATCTGATCTGATGCCCTGCTTTCTGCTCCCTATCCTATCTGCTGCTGTTCTGCCTCCCTATCCCCTCCCTAATCTGCTGCATGCCACACATGGATCCTGCCCAGGCTGCTGTGGTGCTTTTACTGCAGGTTACCTACTAACAGTTGTTGGGGTTTTTTTTTTTTACATTGAATCAAGTTACACTTTTCTTCTCTCCTTTGGTTCATTTATATTGAAAACGTTTTGACTGTATGCTTATATTGTTCATCATATTACCTCTGTTTTCTCTCTTTGACTGACCACACCTCCCAAGAACTCTAAAAGATGAAAGTCTTACTTCCCCTCTATTAATTTTAGAGTCTGTTATATCTTTTGCTGTCTCTGAATTTCAGCTAGCATAGACATGTTTATCTTTTCCCATAGTATTCCCATATGGGAGCAGTGACAGCTGCCCTATCCCAATTTTATAAAATATCTAGAAGAAATTATATTATGTTATGTACATTTCAGTGACATTCTGGGCTATTTATTTTTTTAATGCTTCCTCTGTTGATACTTTTTGTTTTGATAATTGAGATTTTTAGACATGTAAATCATTTAAGTTTAGAATCAAAGGAAATATATTAACATATTTCCTTGTAACTGAAACAAGTCTGCTGAAAATACTCTGGATAATAATTTCTGTCCTTACCAAGGCTGTAATCCTTCCAGCATTCTGAAGTGTCATAACTTTACACATTACTAGCTCAAAAGAGTTCATGTACATTAAACATCTACATGAGACTTTTCAGGACTGGGATCTAAAATGTATCATTTTGTATAAACTGACCTGTAATACCTGATATTTTCTTCATATCTCATCTCATAACAGACTATATCCAAACATCACCTCTAAGCCAAAACTCTTCTCTCTCAAGTTACCTATTCCTCCAATTGCCAGCAATATTTTGGACTGTATTGTTACGGAAAGCTTATGACAACCTTTAATCTTCCTTCATTTGGGTCCCTCTCCCACTGCACTACATTTGCAGCTCCCAACTTGCATGTATTCTAGCTCACCACTGAAGCTTTCCATTCACGGCAGTGATGATTTTGCCAGGGCCTCAGCAGCAGTGAACTGAAGCTTAATTTAGCATGTGCCTTCATGCAGCTCAGTTCCTCCAGCTGATTTAAAGTCTAGAAAGATACTGAGTCAGATTTCTGGCCTCTGTGTAAGCTCACATAGTTTCATTGAGGTGAGTGGAGCTCTGCCAATTTAGAGCAGCTGAGGGCTTGATCTGTAGGATTTACCCTGATTATCTATTAAAAATGTAGAATGGTGAAGCAGAAGCTCCGATAACACATTCCTCGGGGAATCCTTGTTGGATACCTGAATGTACTTTCTAAATGTTGTGTAATTACTATACTTAGATCTTGTGTAGTCTGTCAAAAGCTATTGTGAAGGCATTTAAAATAAGACTGGATGAAGTTCACGGGAGAATACTGCATTGACAGCAGGTGACTAAAAAACATTATGCTTATCTCATCCTTGATTTCCTTGTCTGTAATCATTGCAAATACTCTGTCTTTTCCCTCAGAGAATCCTGGAAGTTGCAAGTCCATTAACTCATGTGTACATTTAAGACTATTTTTGTTAGTTTTTATTATGAGTCTGTTCCACGCAAGTTGCCATTTTTTGCCCCAAAGCCCAAAACTATCTGGTCTATCTGGAATTGATCACAATCTGCATTTCTTTTCCTGACCAAACTGACTCATGCTATTAAGTGACGTTAACAAATATTATCAACTTCCTCCTGTCTGTTCCAGTAATAGTCCTTCTCCTATTAGCCTTTCTGATAACCATCCATCTTTTCTGGTTCTTTTATCCTATATGTTAATCAAGTTTTGTACCTAGACACTGAAGAAACTCATTTTGTGATACTAGAAGCTAACACTAATGATTTTTTCCCCCCATTGTTTCTAGATAAAGGTCTTTCCCTGCTAGGCTATCATCTATGCAACTATAGTGTGACCAAAAATGTCTTTAAAATGGTTGCCTATCAAAAGTCATATGAGAAAAACACCTTATGTGGAGGATGGATTCCATGGACGGTTTGTCCCAAAACTTACCACAAAACTGAGTATCGTACTATTGAAGTCCCTGAGACTGTGAATCTTACAGATTGCTGTGAAGGTTACGAGCAAGTTGGACTCTACTGCACTTTATGTAAGTATTAGTCAGATCAACTGCTTAAATCAATGGTCCTTTTGATAGGTGATTCACTGTAGACGGTGACTCAAGAAGCTAAGTTTGTCTGTTGAAGGCAGTGAGTTTGCAAAAGTCAGTGGTACATCTAGCCCAAAATGTCTCTTGTGGATTGAAAAGGCAAGTTTTATAATGCATTCTTATACTTCAATTTATGTAACAGATTCAGTGGACAAGCAACATTCTAAATGAGTTTGGATAATGCATTACCTTGTCATTCTTACAGCTGATCTTTGCATGGCAGGATTAAGGCACATTTGGAAGATAGCATAGAGTCTACTGTATAGTCACTGTATGTAGTCTGGAGATGACTTCGTTTTACAAGCTTATTGTTAAGTGCTGCCAAGAATGCAACAGCTTCATTTAATAAGGTTTACTATTAACATAATCTTCAGTTTGGCACCATGCTAATGACAGCCAGCCACACAAATTTTACTTTGGACTTTTGTGATTTGAACATTACTTCTCAATTTTACATTGCAATTACATCTGCTCTAATTTTCTCATGACACTTTTTGCTTTGCATATTTACTCCATTACTCCCAGGTTTGCTTGAAAGGTTGGGAAATGTAGGTCTAACTTCTGAGTTTGTAGTAAAACTCCAAAATGGGAAAGACCTTGCTGCTGCTGCTGTTGTGGTAAACATTTTGTTTAGGGCTGCTTTTGGTACAAAAGGTGGGATGGACACTTAGGGTCAGATTCCATTCCACCTGGTAGGCACATAAGTGGATTGAGGTGCCTACATCTATTTCGCCCTACTTGAAAAACTGTGGGGGCATCTACACGAGATGCTTACTGTGGAGTTGCCTAATTAGCTCCATAGTAAAGTGTCTACACCTACACTTGTGGCACTATTAGGCAAGAGTAAACTAATTAACTCTGCCACAGATTAGCACTGCCTGATACTAGTAACTATAACAGAGGAGTTATTTAATCTGCTACAATGCATGTGTTGATGGTGACCAGGGCTGGATGGGGTATGAGTGCTAGCCCCACATTGGAGCATCCTTGTGCACCAGCCAGCCCCTCTGCAGCATGTTGAGCAAGGGTGGAACAGTTCTGGACTGGCAGGCTGACTCCCACATCCCCCTGCCAGCCGGGGAAGAGCAGCTGTGGTCCTGTGTACATGTGTAAACACTGTCTGGGAGCAATAAACTCCAGTGAAAACTGCACTGGATGTTATTGCATTGCATTAATATTCAAATGTAAATGTGCCCTGTTAGTACAAAAAATGGATGGGCTCCCTTCCTCCTCCTCCTTGCTGCTTTTCTGTGATTTAATTCTGAGGGTAAGATGACAATGTATATATGAAAGTAGGTGCATTAATGGATTTTCAGGGACTTGAACAGAGTGGAATAGAATCACACTTAGCCAACCCATGCCCACTTAGGTTCCCAGTAAGTGGAATACAATCTGGCCCTTACTCTGAGTATTTTGGTTAATCTTTAGTTAAGAATGGCCTTAACTACACTGAAATAAGCCACTTAGGTGTCCACCATGCTTAACATTTTCATAAAAGATGATTCAGGTTATTCTGGTGCAACTTTCTTTTGCAGATAAGCCCTTATACTCCAAAGGCACTTACACGCATTTAAAAATCCAAGCACTCTTTGTCATCTATTACTTATTAAATAACTCTTCAGAAATGGAAGATTTCCATTGGATTGACTGGAACATAAGAAGGGTCTCTATCTTTATCTTATGTCTTCCTTAAAACCATCTGCTAGGAAAAAACAAAACATAGTTAGAAATAATTCCTGCCCTGGTTTTATTGATCCATGCAACTCATGTTGGCTGACACACAGTGTAAATCAATGCAGAATTGGACCCACGTAAGCCAATATTTCCACAAAGTATCTTCAAGCTGTCAGAAAATTGCTATCAATTATACAACATTTCTGGGAGGAAGGTAGATGGAAAACTACTATGGATCAAATCCTTCTCAAGATTTGCTTCTAGGGAAATGCCTGTTCAAATAACTGGAGCTGGGGAGTGGGAAGGGAGTTGTTTATTTATCTTACACAAATTAAGAAAATTCATTATTTTTACAGAGTAACTAGTAATTTTTTTGGATACCTCAGTTTTGGTGTTCCTGACTTTAACCACTGTTATGATCGAAATTTTCAAAGCGTGGGTGCTCAGGCCTTAGTCTAGCATCGTCACACCACTAATATACTCACCTTTCTAGATGTGTTTGTCAATGGTATGTCATAATTATTTTAGATGATTTTCCTTTGAAGAAAATTGCCTTTCAGTCATAAATGGATTTGCATAGTTTGCAGGTGATTTCTGGTTTTGGATTATTCAGGCACTTTATTTTGCTTCTCAAAGTATTAGTCATAACTTCTATGAACAGTAATGCACTGTCTAGACACAATCTTAAATAAATGATGAAAGGAGGAAATTGGAACTATTGGAATTACTGCACTACATGCCATTAAAGTATTTGTGTTTTCTTTCTGGTGTTATCTATAGTGACCTTTTCTGTGTTGGAATAAGAGCAGAATGATCTGTATAGTCTTTGTGCACACCTTCCTGCTAATTTTTCCACCTTCCCTTTTCAGAAACAATAATTTACCTTTGCATCTGTGCTTTTTCTGTTTCTTTGTTTATCATTTGGGAAGCCAGCATAAGCATGTGACTGCTATAATTTCTACAGTAGCTCCTTCTAGTATTAATCCTAGTATTATGATAATAGCATGCCTAACCACCCACCCATACCTTAAAAGAACAATATTAATGTTGTAAAGTCAAGCATTTTAAAGTTAGGAAGGGCCAGAATTAAGGTATTGTGTACATATGAGTTTAGATGCAGTTTTTATTTACACAATCATGTACAATCTTTCCTAGTTCAGTGCACAGAATGGACAGTCCTAACATGAGTTAGGTATTCCATATTTTGTTCTACCCACGTTGTTCAGTGTGTGAGTCCATGTTTCTGCAGACGGTATGATTATTTCTCAATGAACTTTTCTATACTCCTGTCATTAGACTATATGGGAGTTTCATAAACATTAATTAATATCTTTACGAAAACTGTGTATGGCAAAAGGTGGTACTATCCCAATTTAACAGATGAGAAAACTGAAGTACAGAGAGATTACAGTCACAAGAATTCACAGATTGTAGGAGCTCAGTTTGAAACAGCTGAGACCTGGGGGTTTTTTCTGAGTAATTAATTTTTTTATGGCATTGTGTGTTTCAAAGCACAGCTTTCAATGGGTGCATGTAGACAAAACTGGGTTTACTTCACCCTAAATTGAAGTGGGTAGGTTTTTAAAAACACCACTTCAGTTTGGGGCAAAATAAACCCCTGTGCCATGTACACCTATGACTTACCTGCCTCTCTGGAGGTGGGAAGGGGAGGGTGAGCTGCTGGCGGGCGCAGCAGTCCCTGGGCTGCGGGGGTGGGGGCTGGTGCTTCACTCCGTGGCAGTGACCCCCACTGGCAGCTCCTGCCTGCAGGTACCTGGCTCAGTTTCACTTTAGTACTCAGTACTGTTGCAAGTCAGGCACCAAGAAACTGTGTGCGCAAATGGCATTTACCTTTGAAAAGTGTGGTTGAAGTCACTTTTCCAGCATTGTATAGCAAATCTTTCTAGCAGGAAAAGATGGGATCCAATTCTCTAGGGTGGTATTTAGCTGCTTTGACCATGAGACATCATGCTTTCTCTTCCTGCAGTTCCTTGCTTCATTTGTTACATACCTTCCAACTTCCTCAACAAAGCAAGCAGGAGACTTGCTGACAATAGTCTCCTTCACTAAATAACTATAGTTTATGCCCAGAATGGGGAAAAATATGTTCATATGTAATTAAAGTCTGCATCACAGCCCAGCCAGTCTGAATACACTAATCTGTTTTGTCTCTCTACCTCTTATCCACACAGTGGCCCCACAACCTGTGTCCCCTAACTCCCAATCACAGTTTTCCCCTCTTTCTACACTTCTGCCCCCCAGCAGTTTGTTACTGTCTTCTCCCTCTAGTCATACCAGTTTTGGGTCATGTTTTTTCTTCTGCATTGACTTTGAGCACCTTCTTTCTCTATGCTATCTGGGTGCTGGCAGGGAGGTCGCAAACAGCACAGCATTCAAGGCTCCCAGCTTCTAGTCCTAGTTCCTGGACTCGGCATAGCTCCGAACCAGGGGCAGATCCGGGGGGGGGCAGTGGTATGAATGTACCCCACTTTTAGTTGGCCATACTGCAGAAGCAGCAGCTGGGGACTTTTTTTTAAATTCCCAAAGCAAGTAAGAACCTCCTCTCCCTTCTCCATGATCAGTGGCACACCCCCTCCTCTTGCCTTCCTTCCCCTCCACTTCAGCCACAGTGTCAAGGAAGCAGGCGGGGGAAGTTCCAGATCTGCTCCTCCCCACTTCAGCCAGGCTCAGGCAGGGATAGCAGCAGCAGTAGGCAGGTTTCTTCTCTCTACCTGGTCCCCTCTAGTGTTCCCTGCCAGCTCAGGAGCAAGCCCATCAGTGTCTCTAGCCAAGCCTGGCTCCATATACAGTCCGTCTGGAGGGGGGCAGGAGCAGCTCTGGAGCCCACCCCCACCCCAGACCAACTAGGGACAAAGGCAGCAGCACTGGGAAGGGCAGGGGGGTGGGGGGTGGACAGTGGGAGAGGGGAAGGGAGGGGAGGGAATGTATAGGAGGAGGAAGAGGGAGAGAAGATTTTTTTTACCTGTTTGAGGGACTTAAAATCCTTTGCTACTGCTTCTATGGCACAGTTTGCCCACCCTGGTATGGGGAGTGGGGTGGGAGCAGGGGGTACATCCACCCCAGTAGCATAGGTCGCTGCTCCCATGCCCCCCTTTCTGAAATCCTGTATCTGCCCATGCCCGGAATAGACAGTTTCAGAGAAAGTCCTATACTGCAGCATGCTCTGTGAGGATGGACACTTCAGAGATTTTAGCTGCTAAAATCTATACAGTTTCTACTAAGCACATTTGAACAGAGATATTTTA